CACACACACACAAATAATAAATAATAAAAAATTTTTAAAAAAATAATGATGTCTTTTTCCAAGGTCTGATTTCTCCTGACAGCATGCCCAAAAAGCATCTGGTTATATTTCTTCTAAGAGTCTTGTTTGTTCTTTTGGCAGTCCTGGGATATTCATTACTCTTCTCCAACACCGTATTTCGAAGACATTGATTCTTCTTCATATTGTCCAGTTTTCAGATGCATAAGAGAAGCAACTGAAAATTCCATGCTCAGATGCACTTTAGTCTTTTGACATCCTTGCGTCTTTAGCACTTTGGAGAGGTTCTTGATAGCAGATTTTCCCAGTGCGACATATTTTTTTATTTTTTAACTGCTGTTATCATAGGTGTTGAAAGTGTATCCAAATAAAATGAGACTTTTGTCAACTTAAGTATTTTCTCCCTCTGCCATGATGTTGCCTGGTGATCCAGTGGTGAGGATTTTTGTTTCCTTTATGTTGAAATGTGTCCCATACTAAAAGCTAAAGTCTTTAGTGTCTCCTGTGCGATAGTATGAATTAATTACTAATCAAGGCAGTAGTAAAACATTGACTCTTGCATCTAGGGCTCTAAAGCTTCCATTCTCTGTGGTGGGGGGTGAGGAATGTCTTTTTGTGTCATGACTTAGAGCAGATTCTAGTGTCCCTTTTACATGGCCATCTAATGACTATGTAATCTTAGATTTCTTAAACTCTCTCAGTATTCTTCTCTTCATCTCTTAAATAGAAAATACTTACTTTTAAGGTTCTTTTAAGAATGAAATGTAAAAAATATTTGCTTTGTTTCCTAGGACTCCTTAAACATAGATGCTGCTGTTCCCTGTTGCTGTCCTCAAAAAAAATTTCTTTTTAACTTTAGTATTTCTGAATCTTCCCATTTTGAACCCCATGAGTTTCTCTGTGTATTTTTTGGTAATTAAGAAAACTCACTAAAAGTTTTATTTCTAAATAAAATTTAAAAATTAAAAAATTTAAGAGATTTTTCAGTTGAGTTGGGAAGTTAAATGACAGAAGTTTTGTATAAATAATAGGAAGGTTATTCCCACAGTCTCAGGTTTTAGTGCAGAGAGAACTGTACAGCAGAGTTTCCTGCACAGTTGAAAGCAGTAGAGCTTTGCCCAGTGCTTCTCGTTGTTTCCTTGTGCAGTAGAAAGCGCTGTGATTCCCCCATGTGTTTTCTTGGAGCATAGCAACTGGGTCTGGGATTTCTATGAATTGATAATTATTTCTAGGCTTCCCTTGTGTTGCTTGAAGCTGAAAGACATGGAGCACTTGATTATGTTTCTTCTACTCTAAGATCCTTGTTCTTATTGCAGCTTGATAGATCTCCTTCCTTTCCTCTCTTCCTCTTTTTTTTTTAAATGCTTATTGTGTCTCTAACCCTGGACTTGAACACAAACAGTGATTAACTCTGGTGCTTCAGACTGAATGCCAGAGGTTTTGTTTTCTCTTGGATGAATTTTGCTTTATACACGGATGTGTTTCTTTTATGTATACAACTGAAACAATTATGTTATACTTTAAGGTATAATTTAAGACCCATGAGACAAATCCTTGTATAATTTTGTAAAATGTCAATTTGAATATGTCTGGATTTCTTAAGAAGCTGATTTCCTATATTTAAAAGGGTATTTTTTAAAAGTGGATAAACTGCTTTTTATAATCTAATTTTGACTGAAGAGCATAGAGTTTGTAGTTTATTGCCTAGGTTCAAATTCAGACTCCCACCACTTACCGACTTTATGTTCTTGGACAGGTTACCTACCCCTTCTCACCTATAAAATGGGAATAAAAATAGCATCTTAATGTGCTGTTGTTTAAATCTAGAAAGTTAATATGAGAAAGGTGCATAGAATCATGCATGGTATATTTATGTTATACACACACACACACACACACACACACACACACTCTCTCTCTCTCTCTCTCTCTCTCTCAAAGCATTGTGCTGGCTCATAGAGACCCATGGAGGGTCTGTAGCCCTTTTGCTGTTTGCACAAGGCTTGTGAGCTGACTGGGGAAGCATATGATAACATGAGCTTAGTCTCAAAATACTAAAAGATACTAATGGTATTAAGAGGTCAGAGGGAGGACTGGACCATCAGGAGAACTTCCTACTGGAGGTACCTGATTCTGCCTAATGCAACTATGGGAGAAAAAAATGACCGGAGGAAATTGATAAGGTACTCCCAACCTGATAAGAGGAGGTGGAGCCTTGCCTTCTTAGTGTCTAGAGGTAACCTGGAAGTATAATTTGATAAACAGAATTATGGGTTTAGAACTTTAGTCTTCCTCAGTGGGTGGTCGTCCTTCCTACCATAAGTGTCAGCTTATCCAGTTTCCCCCTTGTGCAGAAGTAGGCGAAGAGAATGAACAGCGTGGGGGAAGCGTGCTTACTTGAGTTCCTGCTTTCTTTCTCTGTTGTCTTGCAGTATGACTTTTCCTTGGAAAAGAAAACCATCAAGTGGGCTGAAGATATTAAGAACATCCAGGAAGCCCAACGGGAAGCTGAGCGCAAAGCTGAGGAAGCAGAAACTAAAGTGAATGCTCAGAGCGGCCCAGAGGGTGATAGCAAAATGGGCTTCTCCAAGACTCACAGCACAGCTGCAATGCCACCTCCCATTAACCCCATCCTCGCCAGCTTACAGCACAACAGCATCCTCACCCCGACTCGAGTCAGCAGCACTGCCACAAAACAGAAGGTTCTCAGCCCACCTCACACAAAGGCAGATTTCAATCCTGCTGACTTTGAGTGTGAAGAAGACCCATTTGATAATCTGGAATTAAAAACTATTGATGAGAAGGAAGAGCTGAGAAACATTCTAGTAGGAACCACTGGACCCATCATGGCTCAGCTATTAGACAGTAACTTGCCTGGGGGAGGCTCTGGCTCTGTGTTACAGGACGAGGAGGAAGTCCTGGCATCCTTAGAGCGGGCTACCCTGGAGTTCAAGCCTCATCACAAACCCAATGGCTTTATAACCTTACCACAGTTGGGCAACTGTGAAAAGATGTCGCTGTCTTCCAAAGTGTCCCTTCCCCCCATCCCTGCAGTAAGCAATATCAAATCCCTGTCCTTCCCCAAACTTGACTCTGATGACAGCAGTCAGAAGACAGCCAAGCTGGTGAGCACTTTCCATAGCACATCCTGCCTCCGCAATGGCACGTTCCGGAATTCCTTAAAGCCTTCCACCCAGAGCGGTGCCAGTGAGCTCAATGGGCATCATTCTCTTGGGCTTTCAGCTTTGAACTTGGACAGTGGCACAGAGGTGCCAGCCCTGTCCCCCTCTTCCCAGATGCCTTCCCTCTCTGTCTTGTCTGTACGCACAGAAGAGTCATCACCTCCACATACAGGTCCCACGGTAAGCCTTTTTAATCCTCATGAAATTAGACCTCCAAAGAATTAAACAGTCTACATCACAGCTGCCTCCTTCCTGTTCTTTTCATGTCTTGGGATGTGACCAAATTGACTTTGTGTGTGTAAGTATATAGAATTTGGTCATTTTTCCAAAAACAAGGATGACTGTCTTTGTACTTAGCCTATGTCTTTTGCAGATGTGTCATTTGAATGGTGTTTCCCTTTTTCCCCTGTGAGTCATGTTTTTGTGTTTGTTTTTAGTGGCTTGGTACCTTTTGATTTTTCCAGATGGGTCATTTTTTAGCTTGTTTTGGTACTCTCATCCTCTCTCCATGTTGCTTCCCACCTCCATCTGTTCTTTAGGTCTTCTGTGTACCGTGTTGTTGTTAAGTTCTGTTGAGTCAAATGCGACTCGCAGCAAACCTGTGAAGAGCCAGTCTGTAACATGCCCTGTCCTGTGCCATCCTCATCGTCTGAGACACTAGAGCCCATTATATAATTTGACGCTTTTGGAATTGTCTCCCCAGACTGGGTGGTGCCTGAGGAATTGGAAAATAATTAGGAGTCCAAACCCAAAGTGGAAAATTTGTTCTTTTTCTGACTGTAGTTTGATCTTGAAAGGTTTGTTCACATCCAAGAACTCTGCTGCTTTCTCCAAGGGAAGAGGGGAGATGGTGGTTGAGAACTCAAATTTATGGGTGGGTAAAAAATGGTGTATTTTGTTTCAAAAAATTTTGCACAAAATGTTAAAATCTAATTTTGTCACAAAATTGCACATACAGAAAGGGCCCTTACCTTAGTTTAAAAGTTAAAAAAAGTCCTTTAAACAATTTTAAAGTGACAAAATGTGGCACAGGACTGTTAAGCACAGAAAAGAACCTAATTGTACTGGTGGGATGTCTATTAGAGACCATCACAAGCATGCGCTAGAAGTCTTGGCCGGCCTTCCAGCAAGGCAAGGCCAGCAGTGAGCCTTGCACGTGGGGGTCTCTGTGTGCCCTTCCAGTGACACCTTACTGTTGTTCTACACTTCTCTGAACTCTGGCCCATGTAAGTGCTATATGACAGATCAGTATTCTCTCTTAAGAGTGGGGTTGATCCCAACTTTTCCTGGTCAGTTGTAGGTAGGTTTCTGGTCAGCATTATATTCCTCATGACTCACTGTATACTTGAGAGAAAATACCTACTGTAGAAAGTGTCTGCCTACCCCATTTAAATTAGACACTTAGAAACCAAAAGTTGATTGTAACAGAAGAGGTCTTTCTCATACTAAAACACTTGTCCTTTTTTTAATCCACTTGTGGCATTTCTTTTTTTTAAATTAATTTTAATGAACGTTTACAGAGACTTTTTTTTAAATTTCCATTCATTCATGGCATTTCTTTTTACTCAATCCATCTTGGTAGAAAGGGGCCCGTTTGTTGTTGGCTTGGGACCTTGATATTTCCAACAGATATAAACAGAGTAAGAGTTCTGGAGTTCTTCTAAGGAAGTCATGACCTAATTCTGGGAGTGAACTATGATTCCTGTCACAAATCATTTCCTGACTCCCTCTCTCAGTATGAGTCTTTGAAGTTTACGACAAGAACCTTGCCAAGTGAAGAGCACTTCCCAGAGCAGTGACTTGAGCCAGAGGTAGTGGTGTTGAGAGCCATGTAGACTGTCTAGAACTCATAGGAACCCCTAGGAGTGAGGGGTGGTATTCCTAAGATGCTTTTCTTGTAGCTATTTTAAGATCATTATTTGAAAATCATAATCTTAAAAAAGTTCATTAAATCATCTTAAAAGAACAAGTTTTACAGTGTGCCCTTACGCTGAGTACAGCATAAACGTCTCCAGCCTTCTAGCCACTCTGCCCCTCTGCATTTTAGATGCTTTGCTCTCTGCTCGTGAGTTAGGCTTATTCTACAGTTGGGTTTCCTTTTTTCAGGTACAGTACACTCCTTATTCATTCACACTTCAGGAGAATCTTTCTTTTCTCATAGGAATATTTATTAATTGTGAGCCAGAATGCAAGAGTAGTGCCAGTTTGCCCTTAAATTACATTTTGTATAATGTTTGGATTTCTAGAATCTTTGAAGTTCTTTTAGATATTCACATCTGGTCGCCATTTCTTTTTATTTTTGTGTGAGTGTACCGTCAAATCAGATCTGACTGGTACAGGAGGACATTGTCCCTCCTTTTCCTGGCAGAGCATCTGGTTGCAGCTCCTTGCCACTAGGCCACCAGAGCTACCCTGGTCGTCATTTCTTGTGTTGCCATTGCTTTAATACTTAAAAACTCCTCCCTTTCTATATTTTTAAAAAGGAATTTTTTTTTTTTTACCAAACTAATACAAACTAAGCCAACTGACTGGAAGAGATCTATATTTGTTCCTATCCCAAAGAAAGGTGACCCAACAGAATGTGGAAACTACAGAACAGTCTCACAGATTTCACATGCAAGCAAGATTTTACTGAAGAGTATCCAAAAACGACTGGAACAGCACATCAACAGAGAACTACCAGAAGTCCAGGCTGAGTTTAGAAGGGTTCGTGGTACTAGGGATATTGTAGTTGATGTTAGATGGATCTTAGCTGAAAACAGGGAATACCAGAGGAATGTCTATCTGTGTTTCATTGACTATGCAAAGGCATTTGACTGTGTAGATCATAACAAACTATGGCTGACTCTGAGAAGAATGGGAATCCCAGCACACTTGATCGTTCTAATGCGAAACCTATACTTGGACCAGGAGGCAGTCGTCAGAACAGAGCAAGGGAACACTGCATGGTTCAAAATTGGGAAGGGCGTACGCCAGGGATGCATCCTATCTCCATACCTTTTCAACCTATATGCAGAACAGATTATCCGGGAGGCTGGGCTCTGTGAGGAGAAATTGTGGGGTTAAGATTGGTGGACAATTTATCAACAATCTGCGTTATGCAGATGATACAACCCTGCTTGGTGAAACTGAAGAGGACCTGAAGCACCTGCTGCAAAGGGTCAAGGACTGCAGCCTACAATATGGATTGAGGAGGCGCAATGTCAAGAAGACAAAGATTCTCACCACTGGACCAATTGGCAGCATCAGGATGGATGGTGAAGAGATTGAGATTGTACACAGCTTTAGTTTGCTTGGCTCCATAGTCAACAGTCTTGGCACCAGCAGCCAGGAAATTAAAAGGCACATTGCCATGGGAAAGTCTGCTGTTAGGGACCTCTCCAAAGTACTGAAGAGCAATGGTGTCTCTCTGGAGACTAAGGTGCGTCTGATACAGGCCATGGTCTTCGCAATCACTTGTTATGCATCAGAGTTGGACAATGACCAAGGAGGACAGAAGGAGACTTGATGCCTTTGAGCTGTGGTGCTGGAGAAGAGTATTGAGAATACCATGGACTGCTAGGAAAACAGATTTGTCCTGGACAGGGTTAAACCAGGTGGCTCCTTGGAGGCAAGGCTTCTGAGGCTCTGTCTAACATACTTTGGACATGTTGTGAGGAGAGACCAGTCCTTGGAGAAGGACATCATGCTTGGGAGGGTGGAGGGAAAGGCCCTCTATGAGGCGGATTGATTGAGTGACTCGGATAATTGGGATGGGAGTGTCAGAGACAGCGTGATTGGCACAGGACAGAGCAGAATTTAGGGTTGTTGTACATAGGGTCGCTATGAGTCATTCGCAAGCGACTCGACGGCACATAACAATACAAGCATGTTTTAATGAAACCAGAAAGCGTTTAAAAGACAAATTGAATAATTTAAAGATTGAAAAATAGCAGATCTCTTTCATTTCTCTAGTTTTGCTTCCCATACTCAGGCACTTTCAGTTCTTTAACCCACTTCTGAGATTTATGTCTATATTTATAAATAAAATGCTGTTTAAACCATTTAAACAGCTGAGAAGATTTAGCTCTTACAGAAGCCTTTCTCTCTTTTGCCTTTATTCTCCATAATATTTTTATTACACTTAATGTTTGCATTACTATGATTGGGTCGTTTGCGACTCATAGAGACCCTATACACAACAGCCCTAAACCCTGGTCTGTCCTGCGCCAACCGCACCGCCTCTGACACACCCATCCCGATTACCCCAGTCACTGAATCAATCCATCTCATAGAGGGTCTTCCCCTCCTGCGCCGTCCCTCCACCCTCCCAAGCATGATGTCCCTCTCCAAGGACCCGTCCCTCCTGGCAACATGTCCAAAGTATGTCAGACGAAGCCCCAGAATCCTTGCCTTCAAGGAGTTGCTTGGTTTAATCCTTTCCAAGATGAATCTATTTTTCCTGGCAGTCCATGGTACATTCAGTACTCTTCTCCAGCACCATAGCTCAAAGGCATCAACTCTCCTTCTGTCCTCCCTAGTCATTGTCCATCTCTCTGATGCATAACAAGCGATTGCAAAGACCATGGCCTGTATCAGGCATACCTTAGTCTCCAGAGAGACACCGTTGCTCTTGAGTACTTTAGAGAGGTCCCTAACAGCACTTTCCCATCGCAATACGCTTTTTGATTTCCTGACTGCTGGTGCCAAGAGTGTTGACTGTGAAGCCGAGCAAACTGAAGCTGTGAACAATCTCAGTCTCTTCGCCATCCATCCTGATGCTGCCAATTGGTCCAGTGGTGAGAATCTTTGTCTTCTTGACATTGAGCCTCAGTCCATACTGAAGGCTGCAGTCCCTGACCCTCCTTAGCAAGTGCATGAGGTCCTCCTCAGTTTCAGCAAGCAGGGTTGTGTCATCTGCATAATGCAGATTGTTAATAGATCTTCCACCAATCCTGATGCCACAGTTCTCCTCATAGAGCCCAGCCTCCTGGATAATCTGCTCTGCATACATGTTGAAAAGGTATGGAGACAGGATGCATCCCTGGCGTACACCCTTCTCAATTTTGAACCATGCAGTATTCTTAGCAACTTTATTTTTATACTTACAACTGCTTAATTTTAAAATTTGCTTAATTCCTTTGTAACAATTGCTCATTTTGTCCAAATGCTTCAAGAGATCAAGGAGATAAGGCCTGATGATAATTTCCCCAAACATTCAAAGACTTCAGTTAACCAGTTAATTTAAGTCCTTGTATATCTAAAAATATCTTTGTTACCCTCAAGTTTCCATAATAATGTGGCTGGACACCAATTTCTTAGTTGAAGATGCTTTTCCTTCAGAATTTTCAAAGCTATGCATGGTTTTTCTTTCCAGTTGTGTTAAATACCAATTATAACAACCCTTCTAGCCATTCTGCCCCATTGCGGCCTCACTCTCTGTCTGTCAGGCTGATTATCTGCCTACCTCTGGATATTTAGGATGTTATTTATTTAGTCTGTAAGAGTGAAATGAATATTCTTCTGCATAAATATTGGTTTGCATTATTTCCTTAGAATAAATACCTAGAATACCTCATCAGAAAACGGGAACATTAAGGTAATTTATATCACTAAATTATACACCCGAACCTGTTGATCTGGCAGATGTCATATATATTCTTATTAAGAAGGGAATCCTCTGCCTGAAGTCCAGGAGTATGCTGCAGAAGTCTTGAGAAGCTTGGAAACACTAATATTTATGATCTTTCAAAAATTTACAGTTTGGAATAATGGTTTAATTCTTTTTTCCCTAGTTTCTAGTCCTTTCATTCATCATTAGTAGTGCAACATTTTAATAATTGAGTATAGGTGTCCCATTTTATTTTGGAGTTACATCTCTACCCCCAAAGAATTAAATTTTTCATCTGTTAATATCATAATTACAAAGACCGCCCATAATTGCAGTAAATACTTTAAAAAGTGGTTTTATTTGAAAATAGTACCTTTGATTAAATAGCTTTGGTGAGTGACCTGAGAGCCTGAGAACTATTACACTGTACTTTTGGGAGGGATGCATCTGAGGTCAGCCTGGTATCTGTTGGATTCACGAAGCCTGTATGTATAATGGTAAATTCATAAACATTGTCCTCATTTAAGAGGAAGATCAACCCTTACATTTAAAATATAATGCATCTTTTTAAAAAAATCAGAGCATATATAATTACATATACATTCACTGTTGCCTATTTTTCTTCCCTCCCCCCAGTCCACTTTGCAATGCATCTTGTTGTCATATTTAGAATTCCTCTTATACCGTTCTGTTTCTTACTTTCTAAATGTCTCTTGAAGTGACCACCTAGCAGTCACAATAGACTCATCATTTACCTACCTCACTCTGGATATTTAGGATGTGTCATATATTTAGTGTTAAGTAACAGTGAAATAAATATTCTTCTGTGTAAATATTGGTTTGCATTATTTCCTTAGGATAAGTAGAATAGCTCATCAAAACCCCTAAACATTTTTAGACTTTATAGAGGTCAGGCAGACCTAGAGATCCAAGTACAATTTCTGCCAGAGTATGTCTACGTACTTGCTTCTATTTCTCAAAATATATTCACATGTCCCATCTTGGAGTCACGGGGTTTTATAAGAGCAGACATTTGAAGAGTGGCCTGCTTTTCACATGACTGATGGACAAGTTAAAGTGAACATTCTTGTCTATTCTTAGATGCCCAGGAGCCTGAGTAGTACGTGCTCCTGAAGGTCCATTCTGTATCCCAGTGAGAGTCCTGAGACTTTTGTCAGGAGTGTGCTGTGAGGTGACTGAATGGGAAGGGATGGACTTTGAAGCTACAGTCGTGTTCTTCCTGTTCTTCTTGGTTAAAGCTTACAATTTTGAACTTGCTTCTGAGACAGGTTGTCTGCAGCCACTCTCCTTCTCCCATAGGAAGTAAAGAGAACTCTATTTATTGAAACATTTTCCCTGATTCGTGAGAGCTGGGCCAAGCTTTAGAACAGTTTGTGAACTTGCTTCCAGAGTGGTTGGGTTCTTTGACCTTGATGCCTTGGGCCTGAATCATTAGAAAGTAGGGAGTTAATCATAGGAATGCATATATTGTTTTGCTCAGGATGTTAGGAGGCAGGGTGGTGAGGGTAGCATGTTAGAAAGCAAGCTGGCTATAGCCAGTGAGTCAAGGCAGAACCCTAGGGTTCACATTGCAGTCTTTGAGAGGCCAGCAGGACGTGGCTAATATTCCTTCAGTCCTGGGTTCATGGAACAGCAGCTCAAGACAGGAAATTGAAACACAGTCCATGGTATGTGGTCAGAGCAATGCCCTCAGAACTCAAGCCCTAAGTTGGCTTTGTATGGCAACAGTCATAGGTGTTGTTCAGTCCAGTGACAGAATTTAGGATAGAGATTTAGGGATAATCAGCTCCAGAGTGGGAATGTTTGAGGTGAATGATCTGATCTTTGCAGCTCTCAGGGTCCTAGGCCAAGGAAAAGGATGAGGGCCCGAGGGAAGATATCCTGGCGTGGTATCCTTGAGCACTGTCTCCATTCAAGCCCAGGGGCTGTAGGCGAGGGAGGGGGCTGCAGTAGGCATGGGAGGAATGTGTGGATCATGTCCCTTTCCATGGTACATAACTGGTTAGCCCTGTTACAGGTATCCACTTTTCATCCTTTCAGCTGGTACACTCTTCCTTCCTCTGCAGTGTGTCTAGGCAGCAACCTGGCAGGTTGCTGTCTTCCAAGCAGGCTTGATCAGTGTTGGGAATGGCAAGTCTTGGACTGGATCACCTCAGTGACATCTGGGGTTCAAGTTTGTTCTTTCTGCTTTGATCCTTTTGTTTTTCTACCACCAGGCCACTCCTCCTAATTTCTCAGTGTCACAAGTGCCCAACATTTCCAGCTGTCCCCAGGCCTATTTGGAACTGCAGACACTGTCTCCAAGTGAACGACAGTGTGTGGAGACAGTGGTCAACATGGGTTACTCCTATGATTGTGTCCTGAGAGCCATGAAGAAGAAGGGAGAGAATATTGAACAGGTAAGCAGCCTAGAGAGTTCTTGGCCTACAAAGCTGAGAGCTGTGACTTATCTCTGTCCTAGAGACCCTCAGATTTGTCCTGCCAGCTTCCTTTTCTCGCAAGGAGTTTTGTTGGGAAAATCAGCAATCTCAAAGCAGTGTTTCTGCTTGGCACTGTTGTGCCAGAATCCAGGCTGAGGGAATTTTGAATTGTTAGGGTTTATCCAACTGTTCTCTTCACACTTTGAAAAAAGGTGAACTAAGCTTGCAGTACAGAGAGCTGTCTTTTCCCAGATGTTTTTATTTTGCCATCGCTGTCCAGGGGATTCTAAATGGGGTACTGAAGTCCAGAAGCTTGGCCACATTCTCAGAGGAATGGCCTACCTAGGCTGTGGAGCTGGCAGTTCAGAAAACCGAGTTAGCTGTGGTAGGAACATCATTGGGAAATGGCTCACGTTTAGAAGGGTGTGCCTGCCTAGTCCTGAGGTCCCTCCCAAGTCAGACACATTCCAAGGCACAGTTAAGTCCTCAGCGCAGAGGGCAGTGTGGGGAGGATGCAGACTTCAACTAGCTGGCTTGTTAAGAGACTCAGGAAGTAAGAAAGGAATGGCAGAGGGTGCTGAAACTTGTTCTCTTTTTAGATTCTCGACTATCTTTTTGCACATGGACAGCTTTGTGAGAAGGGCTTCGACCCTCTTTTAGTAGAAGAAGCTCTGGAAATGCACCAGTGTTCGGAGGAAAAGGTGGGAACTTAACGCCTCAGGGGAACTCCCCTGGGAAGGAGAGGGGTAGTGGTAGTCTGTCCTGGCCTGTCCTCCAGTCACACAGTTCCTGGGTCTGACAGTGACTGTGGAAAACAAAAAGGGCAGAATCTTCCAAGTGTCCAGACAAACTGCAACCTGAATTGGGTTTCAGATGAAACATTGGGTTGAGATCTATCTTGAATCCTGGTGAAGGGATGCAGATTCCCTGTAAAAGAAAAAAACAATCTGTCAGCCTTCGGCTGAGTGGGGTGATGGCTAGTCACCATCTCCTCTGTGGAGAGCAGCTCCTTCTAAACCTTGATGTCCGTGTGGTGAGGACACAGACTGAGGTCAGCAGTGAGTAGGACTGAGCACTGCTCCTGAATGATAATGGCCTGGCCCACCCCAGCACTGTTTGCAAGGACTCCCCTGCTCATATGAAGGATGATTTGGACTCATGTGAACACCTCTCCCGCACGTAGGCCCTATTTCACTTTGTGGTTCTGTGTGAATATACCCCTTTCCTTTAATCTGTACTTTCTTTCTTTTAGATGATGGAATTTCTTCAGTTAATGAGCAAATTTAAGGAAATGGGTTTTGAACTGAAAGACATTAAGGAAGTTTTGCTATTACACAACAATGAT